GTTAAGTAGGATCTAGAGTCTCAGAATGCAGTACACAAAATGTCCATGATAGAAATGAAAATATTCATCATATCAAAAACAGGAATATCTCATATTTAATGAGAAGATAAAAGACATCAACACCAAGGTGATTGGAGTTATCTGGCAAGGAATTTAAAGCAATCATCATAAAAGTGCTTCAGTGAAAAAATTATGTACATACTTAAGCCAAGTGGGAAAAAACTCAAGGAAAAACATAAGGAATGTGAAATATTTTGAAATGAAAAATACAGTAAACAAAAGACTCAGTGGATGTCCTCAAGAGCAGAATGGCAAGTACAGAGGAAAGTATCGGTGAAATTGGAGATAGAACAAGATAAATTACCCATTATGAACAACAGAGAGGGAAAATATGCTAAGTCTTACAAGGGAAGAATAAAAAAGTTTGAGGCTGAAAAAGCACCCAAAGGAATAATGGCAGAAAATTCCCCAACTGTGGCAATAAATATAAGCCTACAGATTCAAGAAGCCGAGCAAACTCTAAACAGTGTTAAGCCCAAAGAAATTCATGCCAAGATGCATGATAATCAAACTTAAGAAAACTAAAGACTAGAAACAATTCTTGAAAGCAGCTAGGGAGAAACAACACATTATGTATAGAAGAATGGTCCAAATGAGAGTTTTGGTTTTTTTTTTAAAGATTTTTTTTATTTGACTGAGAGCACAAGCAGGGGAAGCAGCAGGCAGAGGGAAAGGGAGCAGGTTCCCCACTGAGCAGGGAGCCCGACACGGGACTTGATTCCAGGACCCTGGGATCATGACCTGAGCTGAAGGCAGCCACTTAACTACTGAGCCACCCAGGCTCACCCGAATGAGATTTCTTGTTAGAAAATGTGAAGGCCAGAATGAAGTGGCACCTTTTTCAAGTGCTGGAAGATTGAGCAATCAGAATTTTCCATCAGCAAGAAGTATCCTTTAGGAACAAAGGTGAAATGAAAACCTACTCAGATGATGGAAAACTAAGATAATTTGTCACCAGGAGACCTACACTAAAAGAGTAGCTAAAGGAAGTTTTTTCAGCAAAGAAACATGGAACATGAGGAATGAGGAAAGAACAGAAAAAGTGAAGATAAAGGTACATTTAATAGACTTATCTTTCTCCTGTAGAGCTTCCTAAATTATGCTAGATGGTTAAAGCAAAAATGGTAACACTGTCTCATATAGTTCTCAAGGTATACAGAGGAAATATTTGATACAATTATATAACAAAGTGAGGGGAAATGAAAGAATCTCAGTTGAGATAAGGTTTTGAACTGGTTAAATGTTGACACAAGTAGACTATGGAAGTTATGTATGTACAATGTAATACCCAGAGCAACTACTAAAAAATCCATAGAGATACACTCAAGAACTCTAAAGTAGAATTCTAAAACATGCTAAAGTAACCCACAGTAAGGCATGAAAAGGACAGAGGAACAAAATAGAGGGAATGACCAACCAATAAAGTGGCAGATTAATGTTCATAGCAGGTTTGTGTACTAACCAAAAATTGGAGGGCGCCTGGGTGGCTCAGATGGTTAGGCATTTGCCTTTGGCTCGGGTCATGATCCAGGGGTCCTGAGATCGAGCCCCACATAGGGCTCCCTGCTGAGTGGGGAGCCTTCTTCTCCCTTTCCCTCTGCCTGCCACTCCCTCTGCTTGTACTCTCTCCCTAATAAAAAAAATAAAAAATCTTAAAAAAAAAAAATTTGGAAACCCAATGTCTTTCAAAGGCTCAAAACTGTGATATATCCATACCATAGAAAAATACTGGGAAATTAAAAAAACAAAAAATGAATGTATCTGGAACAATGGGGATTTATCTCAAGGGAATCATGTTGAATGAAAAACACCAATCTCAAAAGGTTATTTGTATACGATTCCATCTATTTTTTAAGATTTTGAGAGAGAGGGTGAAGGGGAAGGAGGGGCAAAGCGTCTCAAGCAGACTCTGTGCTCAGCACAGAGCCTGACGTGGGACTCAATTTCATGACCCTGAGATCATGACCTGAGCCAGATTCTTAACTGACTGAGCCACCCAGGCACCCCTGATTCCATTTATAAAGCGCTGTTTTTTTGAGAGAGCACGGGCACGCAGTGGGGAGGGGCAGGGGGAGAGAGACTCCTAAGCAGGCTCCATGCCCAGTGCAGAGCCTGACATGGGGCTCAGTCTCACAACCCTGGGATCATAATCTGAGCCAAAATCCAGAGACGCTTAACCGAGCCACCCAGGCACCCCTATAAAAGTCTTTTATGACAAAATTATAGAAGAGATTACTGCTTGCCAAAGATTAGGAGTGGGAAGCAGGGGGAGGAAGGGGTTAAGGGTGTGACAACAAAGGGATAGAACAAGGGATCTTTGTGGTGGTGGAAGTTCTGTGTGTTGATTGTGATGGCAGAGAAATCTACACAAGATAAAACCATACAGAACTACATGGACACATACACAGGTGCATGCAGAACCACTGAAATCTGGTAACGTACAGATTGTGCCAATATCAAATTTTATATAGTACTTTAATTATGTAAAATGTTAATAGGGGAAACTGGATGTAGGATACACAAACTAAACAGTACTATGGGGTATTATTTCTGCAACCTCTTAAAAATCTATAATTATTTCTAAATAAAAACATCTTTTTAAGAAAAAAGATTTATCTGAGTGGGGGGAGGAGTGGAGGGGCAGAGGGAGAATCTCAAGCAGACTCTGAGCTGAGCATAGAGCCTGTTGCAGGGCTCAATCTCAGGACCCAGAGATGATGACCTGAGCTGACACCATGAGTCCAACACTCAATGAACTGCACCACCCAGGTGCTCCAATTAAAACATCTTTTGAAAGTCCCAGTAGAAAACAGACAAAATATATGAATGAGCTATTCACAGAAAAGGAAATCTGAGTTCCATAAATATTTGAAATCAAGGTCTAAATATAAAACATTTTAGATGTGGTACAGGGAAGTGAGCTTTCATATCCACTGGGCACATACCTCACACATCTAAAATCACCAGCATCTGCACCCTCATTTAAGGATTCAGAAACCAAATAAAGCTTTGTTGAGATATGCTAAAATTCCGTTGCTCTGATGCAGGCATCTATACTTGGCTTGACACTGTCAGAACACTAATCATGTTTTACATGTATGAATGGTTTCTCAATTTGAAACCAAGCCAAATGTAGGTGATTTTTTTTTTCAGATGGAGAGCCAATTATCTCAACAAATGACTATTTCTTTTGTTTCTTCACTGCTTTCAACTAGAGAATTTGTGTTTGAAATGAAAATAAAAAATTTTAAATTTGCATCAAGTAAATGCTATGTATATACTGCTGGTTTTTATTATCTGAATTGATATTGTGGGGGAGAAGGTAAGCATAGTATCATCTTAATTCAGTTTGGTTTGTGTATTATTAAATTTTCTATAAATGTTAGTATTTGATCATAATCCATTTTTAAGTTTTTTCTATAGGTCGTGTCCTTCACCCATTTGATTCTTAGAGAAATAGGAAAATAAAGGCAAGACTACAAAAGATAGCAACATAATCTTAACAACCAGATTTGTTACGAGCATTATATTTGCTTTCATTCTTTTATTAAAGAAATGTTACAGATAAATATAACAATTCCATCTAATCCTCTCCCACTTCCTGAAAGGCAACCAATGTCATAAATGGATGTATGACCAATACACAGTACTGTTCTTTGCATTATTTTATTAATACAAATGTTACATCTTTTCATTGTACATTTTGCTTTTTTTCTCTCAATATTTATATTGTGATCTATGTAACTATATGTTAAATTTGTACCTTCTCTCTAAATACTGCATTCTATCATGGCAATAATTACATGGTATTAGTCTATCCTTCTACTAATGAGAATTTGTTGTCCAATTTTGTAATACAATCACGACGAACAGAGATGTATATCTTCGTGCCTCTGAAAGCAATACACCAAAGTAGAAAAGACTAATTCATATTTATGTGTTTTTAGAGTGATCCAGTTACTCTAAAGTAATAAATCTTTTTCATTTTCATCAGAGTTTTAGAATTTTGCTTTTTATATTCTGGTCTTCAATCTACCTGGATTTTATTTTTGGATATGGTATAAAGTAGAGAGCTATCATTTTTGTTCATATGACTCTTCCATTTATTCAATAGGCCATTCTTTCTCCAGTGACTTCAATAGCAGTCAGTACCATACACAAAATTTCCATTATCCTTCTTCAATCCTTGTTTTGTTTCCACTGATTTATTTACTTATCAGGAACACATTGTTTAGACACACCAGCTTTAAATAAAATATGTGATGCCATCTGGTAGACTGTGTCTTCTCTTTTTTCACTTGTTTCAGCTATTTGTGGTCCTTTATATTCTCATACAAAATTTTAAATCAGTTTGTGGAATTCTTAAAATTTAGTGAAAACTTTGAGTGGAAGTACCTTAGAGACTTATGAATTTATATTTTTGAAAATGTGTTTTCAGACAGTGTTATTTTTCTCAAAATTTCAGGTCCTGTTTTGTGCCCTTCAAAATGTTTTCTAACTTTATATATGTGTGTCTTGTAATTACTGTTGTGTTTATTCTTAGACATTTTACATCAACACATTTTCGAATTAACTATTTCTTGTGTAAGAGGATATTTTTATAGTTTCTCTCTTTTTCCCCCAATCTTCTTTTTCTTAATGCAATGGCTAGGATAGGAGCTCAACTGTGATGCTGATATGCTGGTACAGATACCTCATTTCATATTTTAATAAGAATGCTGAATAAATATCAACAGAGGTCTACGAAGGTTTTTGATGTTCAGTTTATTCATTACACAATTTGTCATGTTGTGTAAGAATTCTGTTTCACAATTATGTGACTTCTTCCAAAGGCTTTTCACATTCATAGTTTTCTGCTCTAGAACCGATTATGTAATGTGAAAGGAGATGCTAATTCTGAAGGCTTTTCCATCTTCACACTATTCGTAGTGTTTCTATTTCTACTGAGTATGAATTCTCTGGTGTCTAACAAGGTGTGACTTTTGGCTAAAAGCCTTACCACACTCATTACAATGATAAGGCTTCTCACCTGTATGTTTTCTCATATGAAGTGTAAGAGATGAGATTTGAGAGAAGGCTTTTCCACATTTACTACAGTCAAAGGGTTTCTCACCTGTATGACCTCGTATATGTATAGTAAGGGATGAGCTTTGAGAGAAGGCTTTTCCACATTTATTACATTCATAAGGTTTCTCACCTGTATGACCTCTCATGTGCACAATAAGAGAAGTTCTTTGAGAGAAAGCTTTTCCACATTCATTACATACATAGGGCTTCTCACCAGTATGACTTCTCATATGTAAATTGAGCAATGAGCACTGAGAGAAGGCTTTCCCACATTTATCACATTCATAAGGCTTTTCTCCTGTGTGACTTCTCAGATGAAGAGTAAGGGATGCAATTTGAGAAAAGGCTTTACCACATTCATTACAATCATAAGGTTTCTCTCCAGTGTGAACTTTCTGATGTGTAATAAAGTTTTGTTTTTGGCTGAAGGCTTTACCACATTCATTACATTCATAGGGTTTCTCTCCAGAATGAATTTTTTCATGGGCAATGAGATTTGATTTCTGGCTAAAGGCTTTGCCACATTCCTTACATATGTAGGGTTTTTCTCCAGTGTGAATTCTCTGGTGTCTAACAAGATTTGACATCTGAATGAAAGCTTTCCCACATTCATTACATTCGTAAGGTTTTTCTCTAGTATGAATCTTTTGGTGTGTGATGAAGTTTTTCTTGTGGCTGAAGGCTTTTCTACATTCCTTACATTCATAAGGTTTTTCACCAGTATGACTTCTCATATGTACAGTAAGGGCTGAACTTTGAGAGAAGGATTTTCCACATTCATTACATTCATAGGGTTTCTCACCTGTATGAATTCTTACATGTATAATAAGCATGGAAAACTGAGAGAAGGCTTTTCCACATTTATCACATTTATAAGGTTTTTCTCCTGTATGACTTCTCATATGAAGAGCAAGGGATGCAATTCGAGGGAAGGCTTTACCACATTCATTACATGCATAAGGTTTCTCCCCGGTATGAACTTTCTGATGTGCAGTGAGGCTTTGCTTCTGGCTGAATGCTTTCCCACATTCATTACATTCATACGGTTTCTCTCCAGTATGAATTTTTTCATGATCAATGAGATTTGATTTCTGGCTGAAGGATTTCCCACATTCCTTACATGCATAGGGTTTCTCCCCAGTATGAATTCTTTGATGTCTAATGAGATTTGACATTTTAATGAAAGCTTTCCCACATTCATTACATTCATAAGCCTGCTCCCTACTATGAATTTTATGATGTTTAATGAGTTTTTCCTTCTGGCTGAAAGCTTTTCTACATTTTTTACATTCATAAGGTTTCTCTCCTGTATGAATTCTCAGGTGCCTGATGAGGTCCAAGGTTTGACTGAATCCTTTCCCACAATGATTACACTTAAAGGGGGTTACCGCAAGATGGGATGGATTAATGCAAAATGATTTTATAGGTTCATTATATTCAGAATGTTCCTTTCTTATAAAGATTCTACTATTATTATGACAGTCAAAATTATTATGTTCTAAACACTTTCCAAACAAGTCATATTCATAGAGATTGTGACTGGAAGGAAAAAAGTCCGAGTTAAGAGGAAATGCATTTGCAAATTTCTTACGACATTCATTGACTTTTTCTTCAGTCAGTGTTTTTGTGAATTTATCTTCAAATTGTGTCAAAAGTCTGTCCCGGATTTTCTGTTCATCAATTTCCCACATTTCTCCTAAAACAGATTGCAAATAAATAATCACTTGAAAAATTTTCCAATATTGTAAAATGAAGAAAATTTCAGAAAATATGCTATCATGGGATTGATTCTTGGCTTAAGGCTTAGTTTCCCATTATAAAGCAAATTTCACGTGCATAGATCTCCTATTTTCTAAGCTTTAGGAGATCCCAGGAAAAATAGGAGTAGAGGAAAATAAGAATACAAATAGCTTTGATTTGTGTTTAAGAATGGGATCTGAAACAAAATAGATGAACTGTTGGGTAAATAAAGGGAGAATGCAGAATGTACAAATAAGATAGGAAAAAACAAAAATAGGAAGTTAAAAAATCATTTTGTAGGACTCTGTTAAAATAAACTTTTACAAACTTCTTGATAAAAATAATTTTTTTGGAAAATGCAAATTACCAAAACTGAACCTGTAAGAGGCAGGAAACCTGTATGAACCAACTTCCACAAAATAAAGAGAAAAATAATGAAAAAGCAATCCCATAAATACAAATCAGAAAGGTCCAGATTCACATGGGACTTTGAACACTTAGGGGACATTTGCTTTCATGATTTGCAAAATGTTAGAAAAAAGAATTTCCAATTTTTTGTGTGAAACATAACATTAATACCAAAACCTGAAAAAGATAACAACCAAAAAAGCAAACTACACACCAATTTTGCTTATGCATACCAAGGTAAGTTTCTACCTAAAATATCAAAATAACCCAGAAGGAAAAAAAAGTGACCTAGAACACATGAAATATAAGCTACATCATACTTGAGTAGGTGTTGCTGTTTTTTTTTTACAGATACAGAAGTATGTTTTACTATTAGAAAAATCTACTTCTATAAGCAAATATATTAAAAGGTCAAAGTAAAAAATCAAGTAATCATTTCCAAAGATATTTTTAAAAATGATAAAACTAAACATCGATTTTCCATAAAGAAACCTTCAAAAAAATGGGAATACTTATTTAACTTGAGAAAAAGTACTGTGCAACTTAAACATGAGCACCATATTTAATAAGAAAAATCCACCCCCCAGCCAAAAAAATGAAAAATCCCAAAGAACTGACATAAGTACTATCACCACTATTATTACAGTACTTCATAGTGCATTAAGAGAAAGAAATCAGAGGTAGAAAAACGTGGAAAGGAAAGATAAGATTAACATTTTTGTCAACAATAAAACAATTTACCTGCAAAATCAAAAGTGAAAAATTATTATAAAAGATAAAAACGTCATTAAAGTCACTATATATTGGAACACTATATATTGGAAATTAATACTTAGTTTCAATAGCATTCATATATACAAACAACTATTTAGAAAACGTAAGACTATACTTAACAATCACAACAAAAAATATGAAAAATATGGGAATCCAAGATCTTCAGAAAACTAAAATGCACACACAGATTTGACCAAATGGAGAAGTGCTACAGATTGAACTGTTTGTACTGCAAAAAAGATATGTTGAAATCCTAATTCCCAGTACCTCAGAATGTGAAGTTATTTGGAAAAAGGGTCACTGAAGATGGAATTAGTTAAAATGAGGTCATACCAGAGTAGGGTAACTCATAATCTGACTGGTGTTCTTATAGAAAGGATGCAACATAAACAGACAGAAACATAGGGAGAACACTATGTCAAAATAAGGACACAGACTGACTTTATGCCATCAAAAGCCAAGGAATGTCTAGGGCTACTAGAAGCTGAAAGAGGGAAGGAAGGGTCTTTCCTCTACAGGTTTCAGAGGGAGCATGGCCTGCCAACACCTTGATTTAGTATTTCTAGCCTCCAGAACTGTGAGAATAAATTCCTGTTAGTCTAAGCCACCCAGTTTGGGGTACTTTGCTATGGCAGCCCTAGGAAACTAAGAAAAAAGGTATATCACATTGCTGGAAAAGAACATTCAACAGCAAAAATGACACTTATTCACAAGCTAACCTAACAAAGTAATTTCAGTAAAAATGTTTGAAAATACAGGTACAGCTCAAAGGAAAATGATGCTATGGGTTGCCACCTTAGAGAGGAAATGTGTAAGAGAAGAGCTACTTTTCAATATGTATCCTTTTGTACTTCAGAGATGTATTATGTATTTTAAAAAGTAAATAAAATTGTTCTGAATACTGTGATTGTATTATGTATTTTGATTATGTATGTATTATGTATTATGATTGTATTATGTATTTTAAAAAGTAAATTTGTTCTGAATAAAGTGAGAACAAACAATGGGCAGGTAAAAATTTGATCAAAGAGTTGGAACATAAAACTGGAAGAGCCTACTTAGCATGACTGGATAGGGAGTAAGTACTGTGAGTAGAAGGGAAAACAAAGAGGGAGAAATTGAGCTTAAATATGGTATAATAAATACATGAATTTATTTCATCCCACCCCAAATCACACCAATGTGAGATAAAGAAAAGGAAGCAGAGGTGGTGTGGTCTGGGTGCGGAACTGTGCAGGTCACATCTTGCCATCTGGATTCGTTCTTGGTGTGTGAGACCCAATTGTGCAAAATATGAATTGGCAAGTAAGGTCAACATTCAGACCTAGAGCAAGACGAGATGATGAAAAATCTTTGCAGCCAGTTGGGCCTGTGATTGCCCAGCTGCCTCGCGCTGAGCAACCTCTAGGGGAGGAGGCACCAACTAAGCGTCAGGATATTATACCTGAGCAAGAGAAAAAACAAGGAGCATCTATGGTTCAAGGGTCTGCCCTGGAACCTTATCAAAAGGAACTGGCTGGTGAAAAGACTGGGCGTGAGCATGGAGATGGCCCTGCTGTCAAAGGGAGGGGACTTGCAAATCTAGAGCCCCTTAAGATGCTAGGGGCAGGTGAATGGAAACCACAGGTTTAAACGAAGACAAGCTGAAGCCACATGGGGAGTTCTTGTGTTGAAAAGTGGCTAAAATTCTCTCAATAAAGTTTTGCAGTTTTGTCCAAAGAAGAAAAAAAAAAAGAAATGGAAGCAAAAATGCTATCAAGTCAGGGACATGAGGCAGAGGATACAAAATAAAAGAACTGGCTCAAGCACAGAGTAAGTGCAAGCCTACATACTGAAGGATAACATTCAGTTCCCTGTTCCTGCTGAGCTCCAAGACTGGAAAATGGAGATTGTTCTCCCTCTCTGCCACACTGATAATAAAGAAAGGAAAATTCCTGTGCAACTGTAAAGCAGATAAAGTTAGAGACTTGGTTGCAGGTTGCAAATGTAGAAAAGAAGGCAGAATACTAACCTTTTGGGTCACTTAGGGGAAGAAGAGAAGTTCCTTAAGCAAATGATGTTGAAAAAGGTAAGATTAGGTTGTCAAAGTACCATCCAAAGAGAAATGAAAAAGAATTCCAAGGGCACAATCAAAATATCAGATGTGACACAAGACTCCATGTTTTAAGATGGTGGAATGGAAAAGCAGCTGATGTCTTTTCCCTTCTACAAATAATGGGAATGAATTCTCATTGATTCTTGAATGATCCTAGGGGTGGCTATAACCCCAACTATAATAAATGAGTTAGTGTTGACAAATACAGTGAAGGCTGGGACAGGGGAAGAAGGATTCTAAAAGATAGCTGTTCATGCTGATCTTGGGCAGAACAAGCAGCTGACAGTGTCAAAATGGATATCACACCTTGAAGGTTAAAATTAATTATCCCATGATTACAACAATGAAATTTGGGAGTGTAGACTGGTTACAGGAGACTTGTTATCCCAAGATATCCCAGCCAGGACTGAACAAGGAAGCACTGTAACATTTACTTTTTTAGGACGAAGTCTGTTGGGGTGGTAGTGTAAGATTCAGAGTTATGAGAAATGTTGCAGCTGCAGTTCCTTTTCGGATGAGGAAAAATAAAGCCTAAACATACTTTTATACATAAAACCATGTAGAATAAAGGGCTTCAATATGAAGAACAAATGAATCCATATACATCAAGAATTGGTAAACTTTTTCTTAAAGTGTCAGATAGTAAATATTTTCACACAATCTTTGATACAACTATTCAATTTTGCCATTATAATGTGAAAGCAATCCTACACAAGATGTAAATGGGTGTGGCTATGTTTTAATAAAACTTTATTTTCAAAAATAAGTGGCAGGCCTACAAACCAGTTTGCTGATGATCCCTGTTGTAGATCGGAGTACTCATTTTCTTTCCCTAACATTACCCTTTTTTAAAAAAGCAAGTCAAGGAAGAACTAGCCTACCACTAAAAATGAGAAGGTGCTGAACTCAGATCTATAAAAAGTATTACAAGAGAAAAAGCATAAAAGAAACATGATATAAAGCAGACAAAAGGCACCAGCTAAAACAATTATGGCACACAGTAAATGAAAATGTTGACTATTTCCATGAATGGAAAAGCTTAATGAAAATAAATCTATACATCAAGAGCTCAAAATATAAATATAAATAAATGAGGAAGAAACAATAAGAAAACAGAAAGGGATAGGGAACAAAAATGGCAGAACCAAGGAAAGAAATGGAAGAGAAAAATAAAAACAAAGAATACCATGCAAGTCGGGGGGGGGAAAGAGACTAGATAGTACTTTTAGTATTGAAGTTATGGTATGGTAACCTCACACTGAAAAATAAGATAAGGGTAAAACAAATTTTGATGCGGGGCGCCTGGGTGGCTCAGTCGTTAAGTATCTGCCTTCGACTCAGGTCATGATCCCAGGGTCCTGGGATCAAGCCCCGCATCAGGCTCCC